TTTTTAAAAAGCTAACAGTGCTAAAGATTGACATTTCTGCATGCTCATCTGTTGTAGATGGATCTTTGCATTAATGCTGAATCTCAATGCCTTTAAAAGGGTTCACCTAAGTCATGTAAATGCCTATTTGTGCAGAGAAGATTATGGAAAGCAGATCTAGTAATTTTTAAATTATATGTTCTTTGTTATAGTTCATTAGTGTGGTGGGACACATACCATATCTTGTAACTTTTTATCCTTTTTTTTGCCAAGCTTTCGTCTGGTCTCATCATCTTGATCAAATCTAAGTATCAACAGAAAGAGAAATTTCTATAACATGAAATTAACGTATTACCAAAAATATATATATTTTTAATATACTTACTGTATAAATCGTATTATCTCCTTACAAGCAGAATCATCAGTTAGTTCTGACGGAACAGTGTTCATACCGTTGTTAGGCCACACATAGACTGAACTGTGGCAAATCCGTAATACAAGAACATCTGAAGACAGTTTGTTTGCAAGATCACTGAAAATATATTTTAATGCCTCTTTTGTTGATGCCTCTAAAACAGAATAAGGATATAATTAGCTCAGAAAATTCTCTCTCTTTTATGATAGCTGCTGGACATACATTTAAAATAAAAGTGGTATGTTTTGACTTTGAAAGAAAAGTAAGTTCTGTTATGACCAGAAAGACGGCTATGCAAGCAAAAATTAAGATAAGATTTCAGCTTTTTACTCAACAGGTCTGCTTCAAGCACTGGCACTCGTACCTGCCTGAACAAAAGTCTTTTTCTCTTAACTTGTAAAATATGAAGAGCTAACAGAATTACAGAAGAATAACCTACATTGTACCTGATTCTCAAATTGGTAACGACTAACCAGGCTTTCAGTGTCAGACAAACTTCTCCGTATAAACTTCTCTGTAGATACCTCTGAACAGATACTTCACTGTATGCTTATTTTTATTCTTTTGAGTAAATCCTGGAAAGATTCAATCTTAGTCACATCTTACTGACTTCATATCATTATCCAAAAACGTAAACCTAAAGCATGTGAAGTTTTGGGAAAAGCAGGACCTACACTCCAGCTGCAGACCTAACTTTGGCCAACACCTGTAAGCAAGCCACACACTGGGAAACCTGAATCTTTATTCCTGCTATTGATTCTTGTCTTTCAGAGCTTGATTTGACTTTGTAAGAGCTGCACCCATTACTTACAACTTGAACCAATAGCGGATATGACAGAGCAATGTTTGCATGTTACCAGCACTGTTTTCCTCATCGAGGAGATCAACAAATGTTACTCAGAATGAAATAAGCTATACGAAGATTACCAAAACACTGAATGGTATTTCTTTACCTTATCAGCTTACCTTTGGCTTTTCTGCTACAAGTCTGTTAAAGCTACAGTACTAGAAAAAAATCTGGAAAAGCCCAACATACTTACGTAAATCTCTTCCAAAAGGAAGACCTGATTGCCTTCAAAGCAGTGGTCTGCCACATTCACATACTGACACATTCTCTGTTTGTGGAATTAATTATGCTGCACTGAAACAATCTGAACACCCTGTCACTCTGCCTCACTGTGGTTAAAATCCAGTACTCGGTGAATAAAGTCGAAGGAGTGGGCATCCTCTGAGGATGCAATAAAACATTATTAACCTTTAGGCCAATCTATTCAACACTTCCATTCCACATCATGAACTGAAATCAAAGTTTCTTTACAAGAATCACTAGCAATCACAGTTTCTAGCAAAGATATGTTCTTCTAAATACGGAATGACCAAACAGTTGAGCTACAGATGCCCTCCTCTTGCACAAGAAATCCTGCACTCCTCCCTATGATAGGGAGCTCAATGACCACTGATAGCCTTAAGTAGATTTTTTGAAGTGAATTCCACGTTATTGCAAGAACGCAGAACAAGAGGAGCCTCTTAATGCCATATGGTCTCGTTATCATATGTGACGGCAGTAGCCAACCATGCCTAAATTTAGTGGAGTAACTAGTTAGCTAGCTCATCTTCTCTATTTCTCTAGAAAGACTGGTCCACAATCTCAAGGCTATATTATTAGTGGAATCTTGTTATAATTGAATTCATTCTCAGCAAGTTGCCCTCTGTTTGTCTGGAATTCTAGGGTGAACTCTGAGATTAAGTTGAAAAGCAATCCCAACACTACATAAGTAGTACAAATACTTAAAAAAAAAAAAAGGGGGGGGGGGCCTAAAGGGATCATTTAAACCTAACCTCAATTTAAAATTAAAAACATACAGTAAAAGGGGAAGATTGACAGAAAATTAACGGAGGCAAAAAATCGTATTCTTTGGACTTCATCTTTGGGGGTTTAGGAAGAAACACTTCACATCTGCTGAAATGCCAAGAAAATAAACGTCGTAGCTAGTTAATCAGCATCTATAGAAATATCATGCTTTTATTAAGAGAGCTATGATAATCTAAAAGACACACCATCAGTAGTTGCAAGCTGAAATGCCAGATCCAACCCTCCTCGTATTCTAAAGAGTATGTCCATAGCTTCTAGAATTACCTAAAGAGAAAAAAAGAAGTAATAAAAATAAAGTTATTACAACATGCTTTATCTCAAGTTACAACTAAAGCACAGTTCTTGAAATACTTCTTATCTGTACATGAAAGTCCTAATTATGTACTTTTTAACATTTAGAAATATTTTGGGTAAACTGTAATTGTTTTTCATTGTTTCAATAATACGCAGGGTTTGTTTCCCATCTTAGGAGTCTGCTTTCAGTAAGCCAGGCACTGCTCTGAGCATTACAGAGTAAAAAGATAACTAAGCACATCTATAAGGTTGCATTCACCTTCATTAGGAAATCACACAAAAAGGAGGGAAGGAACCTCTAGAACTCAGGCTGATGAGTAGTATTGCTTAAGCTGGCACAAATACCTCCCAACTATTCCTTTCCTTTCCAATGTCCTTGCTTTGCCTGTTGGGGATGATTTAACATGAACTTCATCAGGGAATTCACCCAGATGGAATTATGGATTTTTTTTTTTGTTTTGGAGAAAGGACTTTTTCAGCCAGATCAGCTCCCAGTCAAGTTCATTGTGCCACTACAGAAGCAGTTGCAACTTTACATAGAAGAACAAAAGCTGACAGCTCAAAAGAGGGTGGGTATGACTAAATCTAACATTCCCCCGATAAATGATTCGCAGTCTTAGCTGCTCTGAAAAGACTGCAAGGGTAGTTACAGTAAGACCTTTTGCAAGGACTTACCACATCACTGTATGCTAACAAAGCATAGGAAACTTCCAGATGCAACACTAGTCATATTCATGAAATAAAAGAATCAAAACATGGGACCCATTTTCTTTCCATTAGGAGTATTTAAAGCAGAAATACAGAAAAAGATACTCATGCCTAAAGAATATAAAAGCAGCTACAATTTTAACTTTGGGCTAAGGATTTAAATTTTCATGATTCTGGACTGTTAAGGTTCACTAGCTCAAGCACTGTACGAAACAAAGAAGGAAAGGTTGTAATCCCCAACATCTTGGCTCCATTTAGGTAACAGTTAATTACGTTATAAAAATGTTGGAGCGTGGGATCTGTAAGCGCCAGCATGTGGAAAGCGAAACAGTGTAAAGTGCAGGCCCTTTTAAGATTTTATGCAGTGATGTTTTATTTAAAATACACACAAAGGCTTGGAGTAAGAACCAAAAGCATTTCTTAGTTCAATTTACATTGGGTCCTCTAATCTCTATTGCGGTTCAGTTCTGCTTCAACCATCTAGTACTTTTCTGGACATTGCCCAAGGTTATCAATACGAAAGTCCATTTTGTGTCTATTTATTGCAGAACAAGTCCTCTAAAAATATTAAGTATTTAGGCAGCAGATTCCGACACAGGTATAATCCACTACCAGCTGCCCAAAAGCATTTCATGACACGGGAAACGTCACCCCGAAGGGTTTAGTGGAGTTTAGGGGTTTAGCGGTGTTTTAAGAGGGGTTGCGGTGGAGTCTCTCAACTCAAAGGGATCCTGCACGGGAATGTGCCTACGCCGAGCTGGAAGATGTTTGTATCTGAACGATCGCAACCTAAGAACGAAGCTCACGAATGAGTTCCGAAAGGGGAATAATAAAGAGAATTCGGCATACAAAGAAAATACTCGTTTTTGACAGGTGCCTGTCAGCGGATGACGTCGGCAGCCATGAGGGCTTCCCCGCTTCCAATCACGCAGGGAGAAATCCGTTAAAAAAACAGCAAGACGTTACCGCTCAGGGCAACAGCCGACGACGGGCTGCCGTGAAGAGAGGGCGAAGGCGGCGGCTCAGGAGGCGCCGCTGCCCCGCGCGACCC